AGGGGCATCTCATGGGGCCCCCTACTGACCTCGGGCCCTCGGGCACTGCCCAAGTTTCCAAATGGTCAGTCCGCCCCTGTTTGGGGCAGTAGATGAATGCTGGGACAACAATCTGAGCCATTCAACAGGAAAGCTGTGACCCCTGCAAGAGTATGAAGTTCACCTTTCATGGGAGAAATATGTGCGCTGCCATTGCTAGCCCTGTTCTGAAAATGGCAGTTGCCTGGTGGTTTCTGGATGGAATATTTCTGAGTCACACCTAGAATAAGCATGGCGCTATTGAAAGTCAGACTGAGACTGAAGCATCGTAGATGAGGTCAGCAATCGTAGGCTTCCTTTAAACACAACCATTTCACATTTGATTAGCTTCTATCTTTAAATACAGATAAAAACGTAACAGGATAGGGCAAGACTGAGCACCTGACTCTCTCCATGCAGTCATATGTTGGGTGCAGCACTGTGATGTCTGCTTAATACATTGTGTCCCCCCCCCCCCCATCTGTACTGTCTGCAGATATGGGATTCTCTCTCTCCCTTTCTCAGCCGCTGATGCACATTAATATAATTTGCTCTGACTGGTGGATGTGCCATGGGATTTCGGCCTGCTCATGAACTGTTCCCAGGCTTCCATTCAGTGTACGGTCATGCCAGACAGCCTCTGCCTGTAAGGGAAGCCGCATTGTTTGGGGTTACTGTCGGTCATATTCCTGCCTCTGTTTCACATCTCTTCTGCTGTATGCTTGTGTCTTGACGCATCGGAAAAAAGAAACTTCATTATGTTAAAATGCAATTGCATGTGCCTTTCTGTGAATGAGAGTAACAGGATTCATTATTTTTGCTAGAAAAATAAAGCAGGCTGACGGTTAAAAATGGAAATGTAAGCTCACAAAAGGGGGGGCAGTCATCATAAAGCCAGGGAAACAAGCCTAGTCACTAAAGTCCCATGTAATCTTTAAGGCTAGGTTCACATCTGTGCGGGTGGTGCCACTGCACTGCACGAAAATCCGTACAGAGGAATGCGGATTCGCGGGCGGGTGCCATTAGTTCTAATGGCACGCCACCTGCACTAGAAAACGTAACCGTACTGGGAACCGAGGTTCTGCATTTTCAGAAGAAGTGCAGGGACTTCTTCCCTGTGTGTCATGGGGCACCGGAGTCCATTCAAATGAATGGGCTCTCGTGCCTGCGCAAAATGCAGCCTGCACGGCCACATATATGTGAACCTAGGGTAACATGGAATGTAGTTTTCCATGTTTATAAAACCTTCATCCTGCCATGAAGGGCTTTGTTCAAGAACTTCCTGTTTATAGGGTGACAATATCCTGTCCCTGTTTCCCAATTGGTCAGCTGCATTGTCACCCTGTCACATGGACTTCTGATGGGGACTACAAGTGGGCATTTCAACACACATTACGCAAGCATAGTCTATTGTTGTCACCACCACCCTGAGAAATGCCATGCAACCATCGCTGGAGTGCATGTAGACAGAAAGAGGCTGAAGAAGATTAGCAGCACTGAGCTGCAACAAAGGATGCAAAAAGATAAAAATAGTTTTACTACAAAGATACGTAATTGATTATGTAGGGAGCCATATAAAGCATGTAAGGGGTTAAAACCATAGGGCTAAGTCTTTACAGAAAATAACTTGGAAATCCAATATAAAGTCCAATATGGAGTCCAAAGGGAAAACTCCTATGATCTGTTTCAAACTTATGGCTGCTATCCCAAGAGTAAGAAGTAAACTCTGAATGAAATGCATGCAGAGAAGGGGAAGTGCCATCTAAGTGTAGCAAACCAACAATTTTTATTAAGTTCACAAATTGGCAACTCACATGTACATGACTGCAGATCGCTTTAAAAAGGGTCCCAGACAGTAGCGGCTGCCCAGTGCAGAGTGGGATCCCGGGATCGGGACGATAGCGGTGTTTACCCTTTTTAAAGCAATTTAATTCTTTTACATGTGTTGCCAATCTGGGAGCTTATTAAAAATTGTTGGTTTGCTACACATAGATGATGCTTCCTCTTCTCTGCATGCAATTGTTTAAGACACGCCATGCTTTAGCAAATGCAATAGGATTCTGTTGGGGTTTACATCTATGTTATAAATTTGTCTTTGAAGTGGAGCTCGTGTGGAAGTTCAAAAAACAAACATATATGCTCACTTCCCTGTTGCAGCATCAGTGTGATACTGCAGCTGTCCCCCCGCCAGCTCTAAGTCCATGAACTGAGCGATCACTTGACCGCTGATCATTTAGTTCTCGATCCTCTCTGAGCAGAGAGCAGTGACTGCCAATTGGGCTGGGGAGGGGGCAGGAGCAGCTGGCTCAGGCACTTAGCGGTGCACTGAAAGGCTAACCCAGCTGCCAATCAGGCATCTAGATGCATCCCTACATTATTGTCAGGATCCTTCCAGAGAGTGGAGTTGCTCTGTGATGTCAGCCAACATCTGACTTTAATCCTTTGCCAGCTGATTCTGGTCCACAAAAGAGCATAAGTAAGTGCACTCCTGTGACCCACAAGAGAAGTATGGCCAAAAAAGCTATGGCTATACTTCTTTTTTGAGTTTGGTGTTACCAAATTGTCATGCTTTCCTGGTCATGTGAATTGTGCGGTCTCTGCTTTAGTAGAGGACCTTGACATCAACACACTTCTCAAACAGAGACACCCAATCTTGGGTCTTCATCGAGTAAATGCTCCTCCTGCTCTTTGTGGGTGTTGACATCATTTTTGCCAGCAGCAAGCCAAATGGTCCCAGCAGAGACCACAAAGGAATCACGGTTTGGGGGTCTTGGGTGGTTCGTTACAGGAGATTAGATTTTTATTCCACGTCATATTTATGAATACACTATGTTTTTTAACATTCCTTTATGACTGAGCAGGGTTTGTCACAAGATCAGAACTGGAAGGGTTCTACCACAAGGATACATAGAAAAAATGAACAACCAAGCAATGGGTTGACCACTCTCCACTATATTAAAGAATGAATAAATATAGGTTTTACAAAATGTACAGATTTCCGCTGTTAAAGGGTCCATCCAACCAAAGATTTTAAAAATTGCATTCTAGATACTCTCTTGTTCCCTTGTCTCCTCCTCCCCATGCTCGTCTCCAGGACTTCTCCAGAGCCTCCCCCATCCTCTCTCTACCCCAATTTATCAGACTATCTCCTACTCTGCTCACTTTTAGACGATCTCTGAAAACCTCTGTTCAGGCAAGCCTATCCTGCCTTCAGCTAATAATGGAATCTTCTCTTCCTCCTACCAGTCCATCCCCCACAGTTATTACCTTTTGTACCACTAGCCCCTCCCTCTTAGATTGTAAACTCCCAGGATCAGGGCCCTCCTATCCCTCTTGTATTGAACTGTATTGTTGCTGTATTGTCTCCCGTTATATTGTATAGCGCTGAGCAAACTGTTGGCGCTATATAAATCCTGTATAATAATAATAATAGATAAATTATCTAACATTCTATTACAATCTCTATCCTCAAGCCTGTGCATGTTTGGAAGGTCTCATTCTCTAAGAAGGATAATTTATTTTATATTTATGTTGAATATATTTGGAAACCATCCAGGATGGGCAAGACCATTGGTGAGGAGTTCTCCCTACTGGAATCCATGGGAGATCCATGGGAGATATAAGAATCCGAATGGTGACTCAAGCCACCATAGTGTGTGCGTGGTGTGTGTGTGTGTGTGTGTGTGGTGTGTGTGGTGTGTGTACTATGTGTACTTTGTGGATAGGTTATTTTTAGAATTTAAAGTGTTTCCTTTTTTTTGGATGACAGCATGGAAGAAACTGTGTTTATGAACAATTGGTCATCTGATCAGTGTCACGTAAACTGCTGTTGAAAAAAAAACAGTTGCTATGCATCATGCAAACCCAAGGGATGACGTGCAATTCAAGCAAAAACAAAGGTGAAATTTAAGGGAAAAAAAGGGAAGATATAGATATTTTTATATCATACTTTTCAGATTAACGGGCATAGCTATAGTATCTTTATAGTTAAACAGCAGGACCAGTATAGCAAACAAGAAAATGTTTATATATCAGTGAAGGGCCACCCCATCAAAAGTGATATTTCGGTTAGAGGCAATGTCTTGTGGACACAGTCAGTACCCAGCTAATTATATTCCTTGGATACTCCAGCAGTGAGATTTGCCTTCTGGGGATTTAGGATATTCTTGCCTACCTTTGTCCTTGCACTTCCTGTTACATCCTTCCTAATATAAAAGCGATGGTGGGAACCCCCCCAAAATGGGCACAGCAGGCGTGCAGACCTGGAACTCTGATTTGTCACCCAGTCACACAGGCTTCTGATGGAGACTACAAGGGGTTTATTTACTAAAGCTGGAGAGTCCAAAATCAGACTCACTTCTGCATAGAAACCAATCAGCTTCCAGGTTTCATTGCCAAAGCTTCATTGAACAAGCTGAGGTTAGAAGCTGATTGGTTTCTATGCAGAAGGGAGTCTGATTTTGGACTCTCCAGCTTTAGTAAATAAATCCCCAAGTGTCCATTTCAACACACATTAGGCTGCTAGAGCCCACTGTTGTCACCATCAGGGAAATCCACCCTATGAATGCTATACATCCATCACTGTGCATGTAGATGTGAAGTATCTGCAAAGGAGCTGCAGGAAATCAGCAGCACTAAGATACTAAGGATGAAAAAAGTGAACACAAAACAAAACTGAAATAACAGTTAGGGTTCACATCTACCTTAAAAACAGTTAGAATAAAGGAAAATGTCTGTTGCTTTTCGAAACCAGTCAGTTTCCACCTGTCATTGGCTGGAAGGCAAGATCACAGTAAACTAATTTCCTGATGCTGCTGAATCTCTGAAGCCATGTGATGCTGGGCAGATGTGCGGACTAAACCAGCCAGGTTTCCTGAAAGTTTATCTAGAAAGATGTTCGCTCACTTAGCCTGCAATAGATCTGATATGTTACACATTTCTACTGGGACGGCATAACATTTGCTGTTTTTTCTCTTGTACAGGGACATTTGTTCTTTTTCTTGGGTCCGCAGAACATTTCCTACCCCAGGGAAAGTGAAGCCACCACTCCATCCATTTTCCTGTGAAATGCCCCATCATCTATCCCCGGAAAGTTCTTTCAATTCCAAACAAGAGCTGCTCTCCTTTGCCGAACCCTCCCGAAGTGTCAGCGAATACAGCTTGGCCAGTCCAGATGGCGGTGAACAAGTGGACGCCCTGCTTTCAAAGACGCCACTGCATTCTAATACAGCCAGGACTCCGGATCCCTACAATGAAAGTCTGTATGATGAACCCTGTGCTAAAAGAGCACTCTATGGGGACGATCCCTGTGAGATTAATTTTATACCTGCCGAAGGTGAGAACTTGTGTGGATGGGGGGCTTTCAAGCCCTCCTTCTTGCAAGTGTTCAACACATCTAAAGGGGTGCTCTTATTCCTCTGCACAGCCTCGTTTCTCCAAGGCATGGTGGTCAACGGTTTCATCAACACTGTTATCACCTCTATAGAACGGAGGTTTGACCTGCACAGCTATCATAGCGGACTGATTGCCAGCTCCTATGACATAGCGGCCTGCGTGTGCTTGACATTTGTTAGCTACTTTGGGGGGAATGGTCACAAGCCTCGCTGGTTGGGCTGGGGAATATTAATAATGGGCATTGGTTCCTTAGTCTTTGCTTTGCCACACTTCAGCACCAGCGAATACAAGGTGAACTTTGCTGAAGATACGGGACTGTGCCCGTCCAATTATACTTATCGGGTCTCTCAACGTGCCTCCAGTCTGTCCTACTACCGCTATGTCTTCATGTTGGGACAGTTCCTTCACGGGATCGGAGCTACACCACTGTACACACTGGGAGTCACTTATCTAGATGAGAATGTCAAGTCAAGCTATTCCCCAGTGTATATTGGTGAGTACAGGCTCCACAATGTTTGTGTGCTGTGATTAGTCTTTTAATGCTATAGCATTCCACGGTATTGCTTTTGGCATTTGTGTACGCTATTTCCAATAATTAGCTAAAAAGTATACATGCATAATGTATGCAAGTGCTCAATAATTAGCAGAGATGTGCCTTTGGCTGTGCTTCAATCTCCGTGCTTTTCTTTCACCAAGAAGCTTACACTAGTCTATTTACTTATTTATGTTATAAAAGGGAATTGGTCACTGGGTCTTCTGAAAATGCTAGTTGTCTGATAGGTATACTGATCCAGGGGTTTCAAGTACTATGCTTGGCTTGGCTGAGCGTGCATGTTCAGTAATTAGAGAAGGAAGAAGTAACCAGGCATTCTTAGTGATGCCTATCTGTTGGGGGGGTCTATCTTTATACATAGGCTGTGTTCTCTGACAGCAGCTGCCTGGCATACAATAGTTGCTGCCATAGACGTGCGACTGCTGAGCCTGCCGTTCTGTCTGTAACCATCCATGAAAGCCAGTTGGCTACCATACTCCTGAGATTGTGGACATTTTATAAATATTATATCTGCATTTTCTCTCTTCTTCTTACTTATGCATTATACTGCATCATCCCATATAGCCATTAATGTCTTTTCCATTGTACAGTCTGGCTATGAATGCCCATCACCTTTTCATGATAGTATATGAGTTTTTTATCAGGACAACCTCTAAGGCTGTGATGAATGGCCCCCTCACATGACCATAACAGATAAGTAAGCTAAAAAAATCTCCACTTCAAATCAAAGAATAGTAGTTTTATAGTGTGGTGTCAAGTTTATTATCTTTGAGAACATAGTAAGGATAAGTGTACTTTTAGTGCACCTGTCCTCCCCCAGTACTTTAGTCATATTATACACTTCCCTACAATAGTGCTGTTGAGGGATCATAACTGTGCAGGCAGCCGGTGTCCCATAGTCAACAGACCTGCTGTACTGGTAGAAGCTTGGGGGTTTATTTACTAAAGCTGGAGAGTCCAAAATCAGACTCCCTTCTGCATAGAAACCAGTCAGCTTCCAGGTTTCATTGCCAAAGCTTCATTGAACAAGCTGAGGTTAGAAGCTGATTGGTTTCTATGCAGAAGGGAGTCTGATTTTGGACTCTCAACTTTAGTAAATAAACCCCTTGGTGTCAGGGTGCAGACTAGCTTTCCATCCAGAGAGATGACAGCTGTCCTGCTTACTGGTGCTGCCAGCTGCCTGATAAAATCTTCCAGGAAGGGCCAGTGCTTGCGATCTGCACTGTCCTTTCAGTTCTATGGAGAGTTGGTACTCTACTGGAGCAAGAGTAAGATCTCTCTGTGGGATTGCATGCATGCACGGGCCAGGCACATAAGATTGTGACAAGGGGTTAGTTGCACTGACAAGCGATCACACTGATAACTCATTGGATCAGGGACAGCTAAGTACAAAGCTGGCCATACACAGGTTGAATTTTGGCCAAATTGAGCCGATTCTGCCAAAATTTAAGCTGTGGGGGCTCCATTGGCACCACCTGGCTCAACAAAAGTCGACTGAGAAATCAAAGTAGCCGGGAGCAAAATTACTGGCCAACTGTGACTGCATTAGCTGGCAGGGGCTGAACAAGAGAAAGCTAAACTTGTATGGATAGCCTAAGACTAGTGCGCAAACTGGGGTCGCTATAACATTAGAGGAACTGCACCTTTTGCTTTGGCAGGAGTTCCACTTTAAAGTTCACTTGCTGAGATTTAAAATGGACAGCAGTATCCACCTAAAGCACAGTATACATTTCTTAATCCTAAACTGGTTTTAGTGCATCTTGGAAGCCCCCAGATCTAAGAACTACACTATGAAAAACCTTGAGTTCTGAGTCCCACCCACACCAAAACTAACATTTGCTATTCTAAAGTGTAGCGTGAAAGCCTCTGTGGCCAGTAAAGTATCTCTACTGAATCTGCTAATGGCAGGTTTGTGGCTCTAGGTTGGGAGGCCTTAGAACCAGTTAGAAATTGATGTCCTGTGTATAGAATGTACCCCCCAAATACACAGGGATTTCCCAAGCCCACAGGAAATTGGGAATTCCCAAACATCCTCTCGATGCCTGTAGTTTGACGCTACTGTTAGATCAGTCAGACAGGTTCACTTTACATTCCTTGCATGCTTTGACTTTTTATGCCTCTGTATTCTTTCAATGCCAACATTTGACATTCATTATACATCTGATATTGTCTCTTGGGACAGAAAAAATAATGTAATGCATTGGCCTCTTGTGTATGACATTATTGAAATGCCAGAGAAGCCCTTTCAGAGTCCCACTTACACCAGAAATGTGTCACTGTTACAGTTCCGACACAGTTGTTAAAGGACGGCTACTACAGATGTTTGAAAAGGTTTTCAGGTTGCTGTCCCTTCTACTGAGTTAAGCCAGTGCCAGGAAAACCTGACTTCCCCTCCTCATCACTTGCGTTACAGGCATATCTACACTATATAGCCAGACGTTTGTGGTCATCCAATTTCAAAACCGTGGACATTAAAATGGAGTTGGCCCTTCCTTTTTGTGGCTTAAACAGCCTCTTCATGAAAGGTCTCTTACAAGATTTTGGAGCGTGTATGTGAGAGTGTGAGTTCTTTCAACCAAAAGAGCATTTATGTACTGACATGAAGACTGGTTCACAATCTGCAATTTATCCCAATGGTGTTCAACAGGTTGAGTTCAGGGCTTTGTGCAGAACACTTGAGTACCTCCACACTGAACTCATCAAACCATTTCTTTATAGAGCTGGATTTGTGTACAGGGGCACAGTCATTCTTAATTAAAAGGACCTTCCTCAAGCTCAAGTCATTGGGTTGGTTGGTTGGTTGGAAGTGCAAAATTGTATGAAAAGTCTTATTATGGTGAAGCATCAACAGCACCCCTCACCGGTATAACCTCAACTCAGTAGTCTGAAGGTGGTGGGTGTCATAGTCCATTGTCCCCAAACTTTTGGCAATAAAGTATATGCATGCTCAACTGCAATAAGTATACCTGTTTATGGGCCAGCTGACCAAGAGATGAGCCTTAGGTTGATCTTGCTTCCCTTATAAACCTACAACCAGCTATTCTTTGTAGTTACCAAACATCAACTGATTTCTCACCATGTCCTCTTCATTTAGGAATATTTTACACAGCCGCCATAGTTGGCCCAGCTGTAGGATACCTGCTTGGAGGGTTCTTCCTGAATATGTACACAGAGATCACCACCCCGTAAGTAGCACCTTCTTGCACCATAAACATTGAACTTTGTGGTTTATGTTACCAGGCAGTACAGGGGGTTCACTAACCTTTAACCTCCAGGTAGATGTCCTGTCATTGGAAGATTAATCTGATTTGCCATGGCTGCTGTAGGGTAATGAACTCTGTACATCCTGTCTATCTGCATACTTTGTATATATTGCATGCAAAATTTTCATCTGCTGCTTCTAATTAGATTTACTAACGTTCAAGAAAAGATTTACTCTTTTTGCATTTACAGTGGACTCCAGATATGGGAATGATATTATTAGAAAAACATCAATCTTTTTTGGAAAACAGACTTATATTTTGGTTTCCCTATGGGGGAGTGTGACGGATGGTAGGCACACAGAGCAGATGGCAAACACACAAAGCTTTATTGAGACAACAAAACGACAGTCACTCAATGGGAAAATGGCAGAGAGGGTGATCTCGCCAGTAGGGGGAAAGCAAGGAGGGGCTAAACACTTGTAGTCCAGTATCGAGGGCAAATAAAAAGTCTCTGTAGCAGATTGTAATCCAACAGGGGGGTTAGGGGATCATCACAGGGACAGTTCAGTTAAAACAGGGGAAAGCATATGCCCACGGATCCGACAGGGTGTCCGGTCTCCCAGGGATAAGAAAGTAAGACACAGGTACCTGTTGGAAGTCCGAGACAGGTGAGGGGTCTCTCCCTTTGGGGCTGGGGGTCTCAGGCAGCAGGCAGGCAATCTTCTTCCCCCCTTCGCTGGGGCCTCAGGCAGGCTGGCTTGTGCGGTCTCCCCCCTTTGGACTGGGGTCTCAGGCAGCAGGCAATCTACCCCAAGGCTGGGGGTCTCCGGCAGGCTGGCAGGCAATCTCCCCCTAGGCTTGGGGGGCTCAGGCAATCTACCCCTAGGTTTGGGGGTCTCAGGCAGGCTGGCAGGTAATCTCCCCCTAGGCTTGGGGGGCTCAGGCAGCTGGCAGGTAATCTCCCCTCCACTGGGGTCTCAGGCAGGTAGCAGGTAATCTCCCCCCTTTGCTGGGGGTCTCAGGCAGGTGTGGGCGATCTCCTCCCTAGCCTTCGGGGTGTCAGGCAGAGTCTGGTCACGAGGGTCCCGCCGCAGCTGGGGCTCCCTCCGTGACTGCACAGCGGAATGAACAACCGGAGAGCCCGGCATCAGCCTCTTAAGCTGACGCAGGACGCTCTCCGGTCGTCCTGGCAACTGGGGGCGGGCCGGGGGGGGGGCAACGAGGCACACTCCCTGGACACGGGCCATGCTTTTTGTGAGCGCGCGACCTTTGTCCAGGGACATCCGCAAGCATGGGAACTTCTCGTGCCCGCACCACGGATGCCAGGGATCGTGCGGCGTCAGCTTGTCCCCGTGATCCCTCTCATCTCTGCAGGAGGCTCGCACCTCTCCGTAGAGAGGTGTGAACCTCGCTATCCCTTCTCCTCCGGCCTCACTGGATTGGGACAAGATAGTGGCAGAGGTGCAAGGGGCCACGCCTCTCGTCCTGTGCGGCTCAGATTCAAAGAGCCGCGGCAGGACAGGAGACGGCGGGGGGGGGGGGGGGGGAGGTAATCTCCTGAAGGGGAAGCAGGGGAAGCAGCTGTGACAGGGAGATTTACTAAAAGTGGAGCACTCAGAATCTGGGGCAGCTCTGCATGGTAGCCAATCAGGTTCTAACTTCAGCTTGTTCAATTAAACTTTGACGATAAAACCTGAAAGCTGATTGGTTTCTGTGCAGAGCTGCACCAGGTTTTGCACTATCCAGTTTTAGCAAATAAACCCCATATCTCTAGCTGTCCGTCATATACAGTTGTGTCCAAAATTATTATGCTGTAAATTTTAGACTATAGTGTACATTTGGAATTGATTCCTCAAATCCTACAAGGACGTTGAACTACCCAAATGGCTTTGACATTGTAAGTAAAATGTCTTATGGTATTGCCACAATTGATGTATTAGAGACTACCATGAAGAACAGGTTCATACATTGCTTCCATTCAGGCTGTATTGAAAACACCTTTATGTGTAGCAATAGCTGTAATAAACCAAAAGGCAGCTTTTTTTTTAGACATTTTGGGAAGAGAATGGGAAGAGGTGATAGAAGATTGGATGTTTAAACATACCAAGAGACACCTTAGGAAGCATCATTCGCAAATTCAAGGCAAAGGGCACTGTTGAAACGCTACCTGGTCGTGGCAGAAAGAAGATGCTGACTTCGACTGCTGTGCGCTACCTGAAGCGTAGAGTGGAGAGAAGTCCCCCGTGTGACTGCTTGCCTTGTGGGTACAGAAGTTTCAGCCCAGTTGCGTAATGAAGGCCTCCGTGCCAGAACTTCCTTTATTTCCATGATTTGGAGATTGACAAACCACAAAAGTTGTGGTTTTTTATTTCCTGCATTTGGATGCATGTTGGACAAACCACTGTGATACTTATGAAACAAAATTAGAACTGTTTGGGCCCATGGATCAACGCTATGACATGCCTACTGTGAAGCCCTGTTTTGCTTCTGCAATTGAGCGTGCCCAAGGTCCCATCTTATTCTCTTCAGTACCAGGAGATATTGGATGGAAACGTGATGCAGTCCGTCACACACCAGGAACGTTGGACCTTTCAACAGGTTCCCAAGTGGTCCAAAGCATGGTTGCCCTTACTTTTGGGCCATTGTGACTTAAATCCGATTGAGATCTGGTGGGACTTAAAGAAAGCAGTTGCAGTGCGCAAGCCTAAGAATTTGGAACTGGAGGCCTTTGCCCTGTTATTTTCTGCTTCACGTTTAAAAGCTGTTATAACTGTAAAAGGATGGTACTAAGTACTAAGACCACTTGGGGGTTGAATAAAACTGATAATGCTGTGAGCACAGAAAATAGTTATTTCATTATAACTGTTATGTTATATTTGGGGTGAATTTCAAACTGGCCCAACAAATTTCAGTGGGGGTTGAATAATTTTGGACACAACTGTATGCAGAGATTAGAAACCCTCCTCACGTTGAGACCAGCGGCTTTGCATCTGTAAAAATTGTCCTGGTAGCCTACAGATGTATTAGAGGCGATGAGAACAGTAGGCTGTAGTCTTTACTTTAAGTGTAGATACTGTAGAACCAAAACATTTTTTTTGTTTGGGATGGGGAATAGACTAACAGTTTTTTTGTTTTTTTTTTTGCGACCTTTGCCTTGCTGGGTTGATATTTCTGTATTTCCTGATTTGGAGATGCAACAAGATATGAGACAAGGCATCTCCCAAAATTGAGGCCCATTCCCATCTTAGCGACTTCAGAACGTTTGTTCCCAGTGGGAAATATCCCCTTACCTCTTGCTCTTGTGACAGATCTTCAATTTTGGATTTCCTGTTATTTTCTGTCCCCAATGGCAGTGGTCATTCAATATTTGGATGGTCACCAGAACAGATTAAATAGAATTTCCCCAACAAAGACACTGACAAGAGGATCTAACCCCCCACCACTATCTAAAACTACTTTTGCCTTTACATACAACTAAAGTTGTAAAACAACACGTTCTGTTTAAAATAGAAAGGAAAAACATTATAAATACTTTTTAAAAAAAAAAGTGAACACATATTCTCTGTTTTGAGCTGCATAAGGCGCTTAGAGAGCTAGGGTTTGAAGAAGCAGCCATACACTGATCTTCCCAGTGAATGGCTGTGTGAGGGGGGGGGGTGTTAGCACAAGTTTGACTATTGGAGGACAGACAGGCTGTTCTTCCGAAAACTGACCTTGCTAGGATAGATGTGCTCTCATGCGTAGCATGGTCAGTTTGAAATAGGAAAGCAGTGGGATTGGCAGGGGGTATTTCAGATGAAGGAAGCAATGCAAAGAGAAAGGATACTTTTTAACACTACATGGTACAACTGACACATATCAGGAATATGAAATGCAGGGTTAACATATTCTTTAAGAATGAAAAGGTTGGCTATTTAAATTCTGGTTTTACTGCCTAGCCAGAACCAGACAAATGACAGTGGATATCTAACTGGTTGTCCAAAGCAACAAAGACCCCGTTTTCTATCCTTCAGGTTTTAGCCATCAGCTCCAATGAATAAAATGTGCTGCACAGGAACATTTTGCATGACACATATTTGCATGTGGTATGGAAATAACCTCTTTGTCACATTCTCTGTCAATAGAGGGTTTGTATAAATATTTAATGTGTGAATAAGAATTTTATCCACACACAAAGCCATACAAATGGATTAAGCTCATCATACAAAAATATCCCAGGTTCTCTATACAAAGGGAGAAAAGAGCAATAAATTATATCTAAAGCCAAACGGCTGTCTTCCATTTTGGATAGAGTGGTGAGGGGTTAGAACCTCCATTTGTCCTAGTGACTGTTGTTATCAGGGCTGAAAGTGAGGGATAATCCCAAATTTTCGATTTGGCACCTGAACAGGAATAGAGGGGAAATCTTCCAACAGGGATCCTTTCAGGTGACAACTGGATCTCCCTCACTTTGGAGAGCTTTCCTCTCACTTCCTGTTGTGTCTAACAGGTCAGAAAGTGAAGGGAAATTCCCCCAAGGAGATACAGATGGTACTGGAAAAAAAAAAAAAAAAACAAACTTTACTCTATGCAAAATATAGTTTTAAAAAACTGGGCTTTCAACATGCTTTAAAGCAAAGCTGCGACACGGGAAGATTTCCTAAAACTGGAGCACTCAGAATCTGGTGTAGCTGTACATGGGAGCCAATCAGCTTCTAACCTCAGCTTATTCAGTTAAGCTTTGGCAATAAAACCTGGAAGCTGTTTTCTGGTTTCTCAGCAGAGCTGCACCAGATTTCTCACTCTCCAGTTTTAGTAAATAACCCCCACAGTCTCTTTAAGAATATAAGTTGTATTAACTGGCTCCTTTCAGCTTCAGATTTAACCGGATTTGCTGGAAAGTAAAACATTGTTAATAAAATACTTCCCGTATATATCTGTGAAGTTCCTTATTTATCCAAGTCATGGTATAGCTAGTAGTAATTAGTCACAAACAATTGGGCGTGTTCAGTAATGTTGAAGACGTTTCACCACTCATCCAAGTAGCTTCCTCAGATTTTTTTTTATTACCTTTTTAAAATTGAACAACAACCACAAACTAGCTATCCTTCGTAAAAGAATTTTAGGATGATAAAACATTTTGGGAAGAATAAAGGCGGGTTACAACCCCCCGTATCTTTTGCTTGCTTTCTGTGTTCCACTGGGGAGATTTCCTTTACTTCTTGCCCTATAACCTATAAATCCTCACAAAGGGAGGAAAATACCTCGTAGCCGATGTGCTAACCAGAACTAGTGTCCCCACTGGAAGATCCCCCTCTGTTCCTGTCCTGGCAGTGATAACAGTCACCAGGACAAACAGGACAGTTGAATCTCCCCAACAAGAACATAACCAGCAGTAATAAGTTTTGTCTTTCGTCATACTTTAACAGATTTTAGCAGATTTACTTCTACAGGGCAGACGTTCGGTGCAAAATCACGTATATAAACGTGATTTTGCATTTCTGCCACTGGGGGGGGGGGGGGCATGCGTCTGCCACCGGAGTGCCGCTTCTTTAATTGGATATGCCAGAAGTCGATCAACAGGTGCCAGCAAATGGATGCGAGCCAGCACCTGTTGATCGCTGAGAAGAATGACATAACACAGCTCTGCCTATGCACACAATTAACCCTTTGATCGCCCTAAATGTTTAACCCCTTCCCAGCCAGTGTCATTAATACAGTGACCATGTATATTTTTAGCATTGATCACTATATTAGTGTCACTGGTTCTCACAAAGTGTCAGTGTCAGACTGTCCGCTACAATATCGCATTCCTGCTATAAGTCACTGATTGCCGCCATTACTAGTATAAAAAAAAAAAAAGTCCCAGTATATTGACAGCCATTTGTAGACGTTATAAAAAAAGTCCCAGTATATATACTGCCATTTGTAGACAATATAAAAAAAGTCCCAGTATATATACCGCCATTTGTAGATGTTATAAAAAAAGTCCCATTATATATACCGCCATTTGTAGACGTTATAAAAAAAGTCCCAGTATATATACCCAGTACATATACCGCCATTTGTAGACGTTATAAAAAAAGTCCCAGAATATATACCGCCATTTGTAGACATTATAAAAAAAGTCCCAGTATATATACCGCCATTTTGTAGACGCTATACCTTTTGTTATAACTTTTGGTGTTTTTCATTTATAGTGCAAAAAATAAAACATGCAGAGGTGATCAAACGCCACTAAAAAAGTTCTATTTGTGGGGGAAAAAATGACATAAATTTCATTTATGTACAGCGTTGCATGACTGTGCAATTGTCAGTTAAAGTAACGCAGCGCAAAAAATGGCCTGGTCATGAAGGGGGTATATCTTCCAGTGGTCAAGTGGCTCAAGACTGCTGGGTCTGTTTTAACAGCATTCACTCAAACTCAATGTCTTTATGTCTTATTGCAGCACCCATCTAACACCGGAGAACCCTCTGTGGGTCGGGGCTTGGTGGATTGGCTTCCTGGGGGCTGGAGTAGCTGCTTTTCTCATTTCTTTCCCTATCCTAGGCTATCCGCAGCAGCTGCCAGGTACAGTCACTTATTAAAGCAATATAATCAGTGATTATTACCCGTCTCCTCCCTAGGTAAACAGACTATACATAAACTAATGTATCTTCCCTATGATACAATTACTGATATGAGAATTACTGGTAAGCACTGAGCAGATAAATGACGTACATAGTTCAGAGGGAATTACTGTTACTAATGTTCCTTGCCAGTTAAAGCAGAACTTAAAGGAAATATCAATATTGACCCATTAAGACCAGTGATGCATCTTAATTTCATGATCTCAGGTCTATACAGTACATATGATTTTCTCTTACTCTAATGCTATAGCTATACTCTGCTCTGCACAGTTCAACACCCTTCCCCTGCAGAATCATAGTCATTTAATTCACCTACCTTATGCGTGACTTAGATTGTCAGCTCCCAGGATCAGGCCCTCCTAGCCCTCTTGTATTGAACTGTATTGTTGCTGTATTGTCTCCTGTTATTTTATAAAGCACTGAGCAAACTGTTGGCGCTATATAAATCCTGTATAATAATAATAGAACAAAATGGGAGCAGAATGACTACGTCTTTGGCCACTTTCCTATCCCCAGCCTGCTTTTGGGTAGACTGGACCTTAAATACTACTAGCACAATGACATTTGTCTAAGTAATACATTCCCAAAGTCCCCTGCACACCAGAAGAAAATAGTGAGGGTGGGAAGTTTTTTGTGCGTTTACAGTCTCATTATGTTCCAGGTTCTCAACGTTACGTGGTGATGAGAGTGTCTGAAGCTCATCAGATAAAGGATGGGGACTACAAGCCAGACCCTGATTTTGGGAAGACGATTAAAGATCTTCCAAAGTAAGAATGGTTTGAATTTACTGACTTTTAAATATATATATGGGGGGGGGGGGGGTATTATAACCACTGTGAATTTTACTGCTGTTGGGAGTGACACTGTGACTGGTGTGATGGTGATCTCCTGCACTGTGGCTTGTTGCACTGCCATGGTGATACTGTACCGGTGTGGCTAGTGATCAGGGACACTGGCTAACTGCACTGGCATACATTGTCACCAGATGAGCCAGCCAGTGTCCCAGATCACTAGCCACCCCAATATAGTCTCACCATAGCAACGCTGTAGGGGGCTGGCTAGTGATCAGAGACACTTGCTGGCTGCTCTAGTGACAGTGTGTAAGAAAAAAAAAACATTAAAATTCACACGTGTCCTACAGTGCCATTTGCTGCGAGAGGCAGCAACACACAGCCATTGTTTTTCCTATGTCATTGCTATGATTGGTCATAACAATCACATGACACAGGGACAATTTTATTGGCCCTGTACTCCACTCTGTGATCAGGTGTGTGTGTGTCCAAAGGATGCAGCAATCACAGTGTAACGGACCACCCGACAGCACCTCTATCAGTCCCCTGATAGAGCCTCTCCAGAGCGCGGAGTCTAAGTTCCGGAGCACTTGTTCACCAGGGCCCCTGATGGTGGGGATGGACTTGGAGCGCCCTGGGACCAGGTCGCAGCTACCGGATATCTCTATCAGTGGTAGAGGAGTCTGCCGGAGGCTCCTGCAGGGTGAGAGTCTGATGTGAGGGGACCCGGGATCCCTGAGGGATGGATGGATGGAGGAATGAGCAAGGGCAGAGTCAAACAAGCCATGTCGGTAGCCGGGGGGGTCGGTGCGGTACAAAACAGTAGGCAAAGAATGGTCGGGTCACACGCTGGGTCAATAACAGGAGATCAAATCTAAAGGGGAACATCCAGGAGCAGAGTCACGCAAGTCAAGGGGTCAGGACAGGAGAAGACAGCTAGGTCAGACAATCTGGATCAAAGTACTCACAACATAGGTAACAGGATATGCAGAAAGACCATTCGGCAACAAGTGTCTGTGCAGGGCTGGTTTAAGTAGCCTGCCCTGCACCTGACAGGCGCAGCCTAGGTCCTAATGCCTGCCCAGCACTGTCATAGACGACGGGTCCTAGTGCCCTGCTGCCTGCATGTCTTGACAGACACCTACGCATGTGCAGACCCATGCGTCGCAATGGTCCCTGACACACAGGGTGTGCACAAGCGGCGGAAGGACATTATATACTCCATCTGGCCCTCGGGAGTGAGCTGTCCAGGTGTAGTTAAAAAGATTTTCACTAATCTACTATCATGGTGACCATGTTTTTAGCAGACAGGAAGAGAAGAAAAATCTGCACCAAGAACAGACAGCAATAAAGATATGTCAGGTATTCTATCCTTCTCCTAGCACTTAAAAAAAACACTTTTATTTCTATCTGTGTTGCTGTTGGAAAGTTCCATTGACATCCTGTCTCATTAACATGTCACTGTCATAGTGAAGGGGAAATCTCCTACCTGTCTCTATACAAAACTAACGTTTTTGGTTACCCTAAACATCTATTGTGTCTTTTATAAATGCATGTTATGGGCTTGTTTTTTATTTGTGACTCTAAACAAAATCTAAATAAACACCTTAAAAAAACATTTTGGATAAATGTACACGTTAACTACTTTAGCCTATTTGCATTCTCACGTCTCATGATTCAGTTTTGTCTGAAACCTCTCTCAGTTCCAGCTGAAACTTTATGTGCTTGTTTATTCTTGTTTACTTGCCAAGGGATCTGTAATTATTTACACTCAGTCTTGCATTTTACACATCTCTACTGCAATTGCCTGCAAGGCAGCAGTAAACCCAGGTAAAGCAGCAGTCTCTCTGTAGAGGTCTGACATGCCCCTTTTGAGCAGATATGAAGCTCTACAATCAGCAGAGAATGTGTTGGACACCAGCTTTACACAGTGAAAGACCTGAATCCAAACAGCTTTCATTTTGATGTACACTGAATGTTTATGTAAAAGTGGACTTCACTCCCTTCTTGTAATTTTTTTTTTTTTTTGCTCTTACCTTGAATCTGGGTTGTCCTCCAATTATACTCACCCATTCAGTGAATCCAATGCTTTCTTGTGTAAGCTGTCACTCTGATTCAGGTCACCAGACCCTAGATAACTAGTACTCAGGCCACCAGACTGTGGATGACTAGTCCTCAGGCCACCAAACTGTAGATGACTAGTACTTAGCACATCAGACTGTAGATGACTAATACTCCAGACACCAGACTGTAGATGACTAGTACTTAGCACACCAGAAGGTAGATGACTAATACTCAGGACACCAGACTGTAGATGACTAGTACGTAGGACATCAGATTGTAGATTACTAGTATTTAGGACACCATGCAGTAAACGACTAGTACTGAGGACACCAGACTGTAGATATCTAGTACTTAGGAAACCATCCTGCAGATGACTAGTGCCCAGGACACAGGACTGTAGACAACTAGTACTCCGAACACAAGGCTGTAGATGACTAATATTTAGGATACCAGACTGTAGATGACTAATACTCCAGACACCACACTGTAGATGACTAATACTCCAGACACCACACTGTAGATGACTATTACTCAGGATACCGGACTATAGATGACTAGTACGTAGAACACCAGATTGTAGATGACTAGTATTTAGGTCACCATGCAGTAGACGACAATACTCAGGACACCACACTGTAGATGACTAGTACTTAGGACACCAAACTGTAGACGACTAGTACTCAGGACACCAGACTGGAGACGACTAGTCTTTAGGACACCAGACTGTAGACGACTAGTCCTTAGGACACCAGACTGTAGATGACTAGTACTCAGAACAAGGCTGTAGATGACTAATACTTAGGACACCAGACTGTAGATGACTAGTCCTTAGGATACCAGACTGTAGACATCTAGTACTCAGGACACCAGACTGGAGATGACTAGTCTTTAGGACACCAGACTGTAGACGACTAGTCCTTAGGACACTAGACTGTAGATGACTAGTGTACTCAGGACACTGTAGAAACAGGTTCTTGAGCTGACCCCTGATGATGCAAGGCAGTGCATACATAATATGCCAGGGATTTCCGGGGCATGTGCTGTGCGGCAGAGGTGATGCCTCCTGGGATGTGTGACATCAGTATCCCTGGAGATTTTGGGAAAGGTACTTTACCTCCTTAAAAAACAGTAATATCTTATTGTGTAATGGGTTGTGGGGTGATGTGCTGATGTTAATTTTATTTATTTAATTTAGGGAAGTTTTTGTTAGATCCTTGTTCTTTTGATTTATGTATCTATTATTTTATTTATGTAAATCATTTTCTGTAGCATGACCATGTTCTGCTAACCAAGTGGGAATGCATAACTTTCAACTTCTGTTGTTATAGATGCATGAATCAAATCATAAAGCGATAAGATGCATTAAAAAGGGACTTAACTATCAATGTAATTAGCTTCAATGACTGACCCTGTGTGCAGATCATAATTATAAATCTAGCAGTCTGGGCAAGAATTTGAGCATGGCCTGTCATCCTTTTGGGATACCAGAATGGTTCCCTTTACAAGGTTAAAATTAACCTAGCCAGGCTATAAAAATTAAATTTACATATTCTTATTTCTTAGTAAGCAAAATGGGCTTCAAAACAAATCCTCCACTGACCTATCTAGCTGCAGGCACTGTGGAGCAATTCATACTCAATTTAAAAGCAGATTCACTCAACTTGTTCAAATAATTTTTCTCTCAGCAACTCAGATTACCCTGCTTCCCCTCCCAGCAGTGACTTAGTAGCTCAGCTCCCCCCTTCCACCAGCTCCCCCTACTACCCCCTATCAATGATGACCCAGAAGCTCAACTCCCCCCATTCCCCCCTCCCAGCAGTGACTCAGCAGTTCAGCTTTCCCTTTTGCCTTCTGCCAACCTAGATTCTGCAGATCAGCTTCCCCTGTTTCCCCCACCCAGCAGTGACCCAGCAGCGCTATCCCCCCTTCCATCTAAACTATTGTCTCTTCAGCTTAGTTTCCCCTTCTCAGCAGTGATTCAACAAATCAGCTCCTGCCTTCCAGTAGTGACTCAACAGCTCTGATCCTCCTGCTGTCCCCTCCTATTAATAACTAGGTAGCTCTTCCCAGCAGTGCCTTAGCAGCTCAGCTCCTCCTCCCAGCAGTGACTCTACAACCCAACTCCCCTGCTCCTTCTTCCCAGTAGATATTCTTTAGCTCATGATGAGCCTGCCTCCAGCAGTGATTCAGCTGCCTTCTATCTTTCTAATCTCTAAACTAAACACAGTTCTGGGGTGGAAGGGTGGAGCAGGGTGAGCTGAATCGCTAAGGGTCCATTCACACCTGCATTTCTGCCCAGCAATGTGTAGATGCAAGAAAATCAGGGGAGGGCAACAGTGAGTACGTGCAAGAGGCAGTGCCTTTTGAAAGAAATGGAGGGCTCTTGGCTCCCACGGCTAATTGCAGCCACTCACATGTCATTTCCACCTAGCGATTACATGCAGTTGGGTGCAATTAGCTGCAGGAGCATTTCTTTCAATGGGGCTGCCTAAAGCTGGCCATACATGTGTAGATTTTCAGACGCGAATATTTGTAAGAAAAAGTCATACAAAATATCTTTGAACATTCAGTGAATGGACGAATGTTGTTCGAAAATTGTCTCTTGCTTTTAACATTTGAGTTTACATAGTCAAAAAAAGTTAGAATCCTACACCCACAGTTGATCCAGAGGAAGGCAAAAAAACCCAGCAAAGCACGATCTAATTTGCTCTTTCTCGGAAAAAAATTTCTTCCTGATCCCCCGAGAGGCAACCGGATATTCCCTGGATCAACTTTACCTAAAAATTTTAGTATCCAGTTATATTCTGTGTATCCAAGAAAGAACCCAGGACTTTTTTGAAGAAATCCACTGAGCTGGCCAGAACCAACTCTTGAGGGAGTCTATTCCACATTTTCACAGCTCTCACTGTGAAGAAACCTTTCCGTGTTTGGAGATTACATTTCTTTTCCTCCAGAATTGAAAATGAATGTAATTTCTGAATGATCACCACATACACTGGCCGAAAAGTCGTCTGTTCAAGAAAAGTTTTCCTTCCTGCCCCTTCGAATTTTCCCATCACTTGAAAACAAACATTGATTTGACCCCACTAATGATTAGAAAATCAAACGAAAATTCTTCAAACGGAAATTCTTGAACGAAAATCTATACGTGTATGGCCAGCTTTACGCAGCTAACCGTTGGGACCTCTTGTTGATTTTCTTGTATCTACATGCTGTAAGGTGAAAACACAGGTATGAATGTGGCCTAAAAGAGAATGACTTGAAGGACTGCTGTGAATGTGATGATTTTTCCCACAGTGCCTGAAGCCACAGAGATTAGTGAGAACTTGTTTTTAGGGCTCTTTTACTGTTTGCTAGACATATGTAAATACTTGACTGTCAATATCCTGGTCACAAAATCATGGTAAGTAGTTTTTTTTTTTTCAAATGTAATCTTTCAGATCAACAAAATTTACTAGCAGATGAGTTGTGTAAGGGTCTACCTGATTGGAAGTAATTTGCTCCTCCAAAAATGCCATCCATCTAAAAAGTCTCTTTCACATTGTTTCCTGTGCAGGTCAGTGTTGATGCTGCTCAAGAATCCCACTTTTATTTTCCTGTGCCTAGCCGGAGCAACAGAGGCGACCCTCATAACGGGAGTGTCGACGTTTGGACCAAAGTTTTTAGAATCTCAGTTTAGTTTGAGTGCTTCAGAAGCTGCAACTTTTTTTGGTAAGTTTTCTGCTGCCAGCAAAACTAAATGGCCACTTGGCTAACACAGAAAGATCACGATTTATAGCTATAGGCAGGGCTTTTTTTTCTCAGGGAATAGGTATAGGAACTCACCCCCCCCCTTCCGAGCCACCCTTTGTCTCCACCCTCTACCCACCTCCGAGCACCGTTCATTGGTTCCACCCCCCCTACCCACCTCCCAGTACCACCCATTTTATAGAAAATGGAACCAAGTATCATTTTGTGGCACTAAGTAATTTGTATGGAATTTGTTAATGTTAACAAGAAAATCTGTAAAATAGATCACCTGTAGCCATCAATAATGGACCTTTCAAGCAACAATAGATCCCCCTAGCAACAATAGATTTCCCAGCAACAATAGATCCTCCAGCAATAATAGATTCCCCTAGCAACAACAGATCCCCTCAGCAACAGTAGTCCCCATGCAACAAAATACCCTACAGCAACAATAGTCCCACCCCAGGAGCAATAGACCCCCACCAGCAACAATAGCACCTCCAGCACCCAGCAACAATAGACCCCTCCCAAAAACAGTAGATCCCACCCAGCAACAAATGACCCCCCCGAAACATAAGACCCACCCCCAGCAACAATAGACACCTCTTGCAACGATAGCTCCCTTCCAGCAACAATTGACCCTCCAGCAAAAATTGACCCTCCCCCAGCAACAATAGACCTCAACATTAAATTACCCCCAGCAACAATAGATTCCCAGCAGCCAGTATCAATGTAACCTCCAGCGCACCCCAGGACTCATTGCCATTTTATACATTCAGTGCTGGAGGTGCCAGAACTGCATTCCCCCACATTCCTATGGAAAAAAAGCCCTGGCTATAGGTGTATTTGAGGATCAGAAACTGTTGTTTTGTGTTTCTTCCATTTGCGAACTGTTGTCACCTTCTCACCAAGCTCTTTGGCGATAGTTTGGTAGCCCAGTCCAACCTTGTGTAGGTCTACATTCTTGTCCCTGACATCCTTGGATAGCTCTTTGGTCTTTGCCATGGTGGAGAGTTTGGAATCTGATTGTTTGATTGCTCCTGTGGACAGGTGTCTTTTATACAGGTAACAAAAAGAGATTAGCAACACTCCCTTTAAGAGACTGCTTCTAATCCCAGCTTGTTACCTGTATGAAAGACACCTGGTAGCCAGAAAGCCTGCTGAATGATAGGGGATCAAATACTTATTTCCCTCATGAACATGCAAATCAGTGCATAATTTGTTAGACATGCATTTCTTTTGAATTTTTTGTTGCTATTCTGTCTCTCAGTGTTACAATACACCGAACATTCGATTTGTAGACCGATCATTTCTTTGTGAGTGGACAACATTCAAAATCAGCAGAGGATCAAATGCTTATTTCCTTCACTGTATATATTTTTATATATATATATATATATATATATATATATTTGCTATGATTACTGATTACTTGGAGCCAGGGGTGGACTGACCATTTGGAAACTCGGGCACTGACTGAGGGCCCGGGGTCAGTAGGGGGCCAAATGAGATGCCCCTGGTACCTTTTTCATAAGCTTTTTTGAGTTTGGGCAAGGACACAGGGGCCCCTTGATCCCCTATTGCCCATGAGTTGTCAGTCCGCCCCTGCTTGGAGCTGATTGCAATAAAATGTATTCCTATGAAGCCAGCATGCTGCAGAGTAAGTTTGACAGAAACTAGGCAAAGCTGAAATATGGATTTTGGTTCGAAATGGATTTTAGGTCCCGTTCACATATCACATAGCGGGAATGTGGGTTCCTGTTCGCAATTTTAAAAAGGCGATTCACACATTTTTCACTTGAATGGGCAGCCCAATGCATTTGCTGTGCCAAAGAAGGTCAGGGATCATATTTAAGCCCTGAGCTAGGCTCGTTTTTACACGCATGTTTTTTTTGTGCAAAAGTCACGGCAATGTCACACCAAGTTTTGGGTGCCATTCATCTTGAACACACGTTTTGCAGCTATTTGATTCCTAATCATAAAAATGTAAATGGGGCCTTAAACTAAGCCGCAACTTTGAATCTTTTTAATACATAATTGTAAATTTTGTTTCTCACATCTGCTGTTTAGTTTTGCTTTGAAGATCAAGTGGTTGTTCGGTTTATTTAAAGCCAAATCTTTTAGTTTTGAATAGAGGGGGAGAGGGTTAGGTTTTACCTACTTCCTTTTTCCCGATTTTGTCCGGCATATGTTACCTGGACAGGACACAAGGGAAAATCTGAGGGAGGATCCTGGACATGGCGCTGGTCGGGAGATCGAGGTGTAGAGTTGTATTGTTACCCCCACAATTCCGAGGATTAGCAGATAGCACAAGTTTTTTTTCACACTGAATGTGTTAAGAGTATGGGATGTTTTACATAAACAAAAAGGGTGGGAATATAATTCATGGTCCACAGATTATTTTCTTCCGGGTAAAGAAAGTGTTGCTGGGAAGTGGATAAAGAAGGAAGATGCACGGTTGAGAGATGTAAAGGTGGGGGAGGAAATAGGTTCACTTAAGGATTTGTAAAAAAAGACGGAAATTTTTACGAGAATTGATAAGTGGCGTTATTTTTAGTTGAAACACTTTATAGGGAAGCTTCTAAGGCCACTGAGAACAAGAGAGGATTGGAACCCTTTTGAGCACTTGTTAGACACAACGGGGGACGGGAAACACGGGATATCAAAAATATATAAGATTCTCTCTGGAATAATCACAGATACAAGTCCACCATTTATAGAGAAGTGGGAAAGGGATATAGGATTAATGATGGATATGGAAAAGCTAAAGAAAATATATAGTTTAATACACGAAAATGTAAATATGAAGGAGGTAGAAATGAATTATAAATGTTTGGCAAGATGGTATATGACACCGCGTGTAGCACACAGATTGAATGGAGATAACTCACCTTTATGTTGGCGTGGATGTGGGGATAGAGGTACAATGTATCACATATGGTGGGACTGTCCTTAAATTCAAGAGTATTGGGGGCAAATAGTAGACATGATTCAGAAAATAATGGAGGTTGATATCCCAAAAGACCCAGAGACTTGCCTGTTTCATGGTACTAAGCTTTCGGTTAAGAAATATAAAAAATATGGTGTTATCTTAATGCAGCGAAGGGATTGATACCCAAGTTTTGGAAGAAACAGGAGGTACTAAAAATAAAGGATTGGATAAATAGGGTAGACCAGATATATAGACTGGAAGAACTTTACCACTTGAGTGAAGATAAGATGGAGAGTTTTCGTGCCAACTGGAAATGTTCGGAGGAGATTAAGGAGTCAGAATTAATCCTAGAGTATATGGGAGTGTAATAGAGAAAAAATGTGGATATGTTTGTGAATTGGGATTTCCATAGGGAGCGGGAAAGATGCAGAGTGGAGGTTTTGGGGGGTTGGAGGGAGGTGGGGGGGAGGGGAGGGAAAATGTTAAGGATTTTTGTTTAAACAATCAGATATTATGACAATCAAATCCGTGGTAGTTTTATGTGTTTATTTGTTTATGGTTTTTTTGTATAAATTTGATATTTTGAAAATTTAATAAAATATTTCAGATCAAAACAATCAGATATTATGACAATCAAATCTGTGGTAGTTTTTTGTGTGTTTATTTGTTTATGGTTTGTTTGTATAAATTTGATATTTTGAAAATTTAATAAAATATTTAAATAACAAAAAAAAACAAGGGAAAATCTACTGAATAGAGACACAGCCTGAAGTAAAATAGAATGTCTCATCCTTTTTGCCTCTGCAATCTTTTTGATTGCCACCTGTGTCCCTGTTAGGGGGGGATTTCCCTTCACTTCCTGTTCTGTCTCACTCTTGTCAAATCAACGTGATGGGAAATCACCCCAGGGGAGCACAGCAGACAGCAGCAAAAGCACTCCCCGATAGAAAAACAATATTGTTTAGATTGTTTTGGACTTTAATTATCTTTTAATAAATCTCTACTACATTGTAGAAAAGACTGTATGTTTCAAGTAATATGTGATGTGCTATTGGTGGGTGTTTCTTAAAAATCATGCCGAAGTCATGTAACAAGGTCAATGTGAGCAATGGAAACACCATCAATAGTAGAAGCACATTTGTGGTTGGAAACAGGAAGGAAGAAGTGTGTATGTGAATGTATTACTAGGTGTCAAGTGACTTTAAGGAACTTCCTAAAATAACTGCAACATAACAGCTTAAGCTAGGCATTCATGGGCTGACCGAGAGAGAATCAATAGATTCCTCCATGCATGCTAAACAGCATGGATGGAGGAATCCACACTGCTGGCTATTGTATTCAAGCAGCCGCAGTTGTCTCAATACCCGCACATCAGATTAGATGCAGTCACTGTTCGCTCATCAATTTTCCATCCGGCCTCTCTGATTTGTTTCTTCTACTTCTTCTGTTGAGCCGGGTGGTGCCAACAGGTCCAGGCACAGCTTGAATTGGCACACAAATCAGATGAAATTTAAGCGTGTATGGTCAGCTTTATTGGGTAGCACTCATAGCACTTCTAGCACTGGGGTCCTCAGGATAGAGTCCTGGCCAGGATGCTGCATGAAGTTTGCATGTTCTCCCTGTGCTTGCATGGGTTTCCTCCAAGTGTTCCGGTTTCCTCCCATACTGCAAAGACATGGTGATGTGATAATTGGCTCTTGTCTAAATTGGTTCTAATATGTTTGTATGCATGTGACACAGTGACCATAGATTGTAAGCTCCTTGAGGATAGGGACTAATGTGAATGCACAGTATGTAAAGCACTAATGGTCAACAGCAGGGGCGGACTGACCATTTGGAAAAGCGGGCACTGCCCAAGAGCCCAGGGTCAGTAGGGGGCCCCATGAGATGCCCCCTGGTACCTTTTTCATAGGCTTTTTTGAGGTTGGACAAGGACACAGGGGCCCCATGATCCCCTATTGCCTGGGGGCCCCATGAGTTGTCAGTCCGTCCCTGGTCAACGGTGATGGTAGCCAGCGGGACTGGCTTCTGATCATGTGACCACTGGGACAGTCAATCATGGTTTCATGATTGCAGTTCTTTCCTGCCCCCTGGAGGTCAGAAACCTTTAAAGGAACACCAGGGCAGGTGCAAAGGTGTTCATAAATGGCAGTTGTTTATCTTACAAAGTGCTTTAGCAAAAGGAGTACTAGGGTCGTTGGTTCGAATCCCAGCCACGGCACCACCTGCCTGGAGTTTGCATGTTCTTCCTGTGCCTGCGTGGGTTTCCTGCGGGTACTCCGGTTTCCTCCCACACTCCAAAGACATGCTGGTAGGTGAATTGGCTCCTGTCTAAATTGGCCCTAGTATGTGTATGTATGAATGTGAGTTAGGGACCTTAGATTGTACACCCCTTGAGGGTTAGGGACCTTAGATTGTACACCCCTTGAGGGTTAGGGACCTTAGATTGTACGCCCCTTGAGGGTTAGGGACCTTAGATTGTACGTTAGGGTTAGGGACTGATGTGAATGTACAATATACATGTAAAGTGCTGCGTAAATTGACGGCGCTATATAAGTACCTGAAATAAATAAAAAAAAGAAATGCCAGTTAGGGTTTACATACTGTCTTTGTACTTAGAACTGGAGTTCTGTCCAAAAATACTGATGTAGGGCCCCTGCTTATGTGAAAACAACCCATAAAATACCTAATGTGCCATTGAATTGTGGGCTGATGGAAAGATTCTCCATGAGAACTCTTTAATATGTCTTTTGTCACGTTAGATTTGCAAATCGATGAAAATTCATCACACTTGCTCATTGTCAGACCATTGTGCTGCCTAAAAGTGAAACTAACATTCGTTTGAGGTCAAACGCAGTGCGATGGTGTTTAGCACAATGAACAGATGGGGAAAGGCGGGAGGCTGAACGCCTATTTCTGCACTTGTGTCTTCATTTGACGGCACAGGAGCTCAGCATGGAGTCTTATCGACTTGTCCCATTTAATTTAGTGAACTGCATGATTTCATGAAGGGGTAAAAGAACGGATTTAAAGGGAAATATCATCTTTTCTAAATGTGTGTGTGAATGTGGTCAGCTTAAAGTATACCTCTAAAAAATGGCAAGACTTCTTCCTGCAGTTTGGTCTTGTCTACACATCTTAGTGGGTGGAGTTGGGAATGCGCTTCCCATTGGATTGGAATTAGTCGTTCCTAGACTAGAGTGTGGTGGCCAGGTCCATTTGGCAACAATGAGAAAGCTTTGTCTCCTGTATGTATTCCCAGTGTGTACAGTTCCTGTAACGTAGCCGAGGCTGATGATTTGTTTCCTTCTCTTATACAGGGTACCTGGTGGTTCCTGCTGGGGGTGGCGGAACCTTCCTGGGGGGATTCATAGTGAACAAACTGAAATTGCACTGCTCAGGAATCATCAGGTTCTGTGTCCTGTGTACTGTACTTAGTCTTATGTCAGTCTTCATCTTCCTCATCAGCTGTCCTAACATGCCCATGGCTGGAGTCACCGAACCCTACCTTGACAGGTACTCTTTGTTAATAATCAAGACTACCCACATGGAAGAAAAATATATTTGAAATATATTTTTAAAATATTATTCCCAAATATATTGACATATATTTGAAATACTACAATTTTGGCCATATTCAATATATTTAAAAATATATTTCAATAAACATATATATATATTCTGCATGTTGAAATGTGTTTTTATTACAAAATATCTGAAAATAATTTATAAAAATACATTTTAAAATATACTGTATGTCTTTAAAAATACAAATTTTTGAAATGCATTTCAACATGCAGTATATATATATATATATATATATATATATATATATATATATATATATATATACATACATACATACACACACACTGCATGTTGAAATGCTTCTTTTATATATTCCAAAATGTATGAAAATGTTTTTACATATATATTCGTAAATGCATTCCAAAAATGTAGATCTGTATTTTTAAAGACATACAGTATATTTGAAATGTCTTTTTACAAATATTTTTCATACATTGTGTAATAACGCATTTCAACATACAGTGTGTATATATATATATATATATATATATACTGAAGAATATATATATATTTACTGAAGAATATTTTTTAAATATAATTTCAAATATATTTTTATTCCATATGGGTAAACACCATCACTGCTACTACTTGCTTCAGTTTTGTATTGCTGAAATATATGTCTTTGAAATAGGTTTGGAATATGTTTTTCAGTGCCATCATTTATAACTGAATTTACAGTGAAAAGATGGCCATAGATGGGCAGTTGTTATTTTATTTTTTTACATTCAGCCTTTGGCCCAGATGCAAGATTCTTCCATCAACACACACAAGGTGGATGGAGGAATCCCCCTGGCAAAACATTGTATTCTGACAGCAGCTCCTGCTGATCAACAAAAGTTTTCCAGCACGTTCTTTCCACAGAAGTCAATGGAATGATCGACTTCGGTGAAGGGGGATGGCCACATACTGGTCCCTGCTAACCCAGAAGCATTTCAATCAGTGTATGGCCAGGTTTACTGCAGGCAATTTTTTTTTGTTGTTTTAGATCTATCTTGCTGTCACACTGCATGCGTTTAATTATGCTTTTTTTCTGCATCCAAAAGCACACAGAAAGTTGGATATATGGTTGTCAATGTCATAGTTCACAGCAGTGCTTGCAGTTCCAGTGCATTCCGGATACAGAAAAAAAATAGAACAGGCTGCATTTTTCCTTCACAGAACTGTACTGAAACGTGGTAAAACACATCAAAAACACACTGGAATGCACATGTCCCTATTTCAAATGAAGAAAAAGAGAGGAGAAAATATGAACTGGAATGCAATAAAAAAATGCACCGGAACGTGCCAAAAACGCGCATGCAAAAACGCATCCGGAACGCATCTGGACTGCATTTCTATAGTGTGAACCGGCCCTCAAAGAGAACATTCCCTCATTTCCTGTCATAATCACCACCATCACACAGTATTAGGCTGGCCATACATGACTCGAATTTCAGCAGATTCCTGCTGAATTGTCCAAACTTTGAGCTGTGGGTGACCCTGTTGGCACCTCGCAGCTCAACAAAAGTTGATTTAAAAAATGAAATAGCTAGGTGAAAATCTGTGATTTCGTCCAATCAGATGCAATCACTGTTGGAATAGACAGCAATGTCGATTCCTCCATTCAGGCTGTTTAGCATGGATGGGGGAATTATTGTCTTTCATTTAGCCATTGGAGCTCAATGTGAGTGATCTACATGTGTATGGCTAGCCTTAGGGTAGTTATCGGAAGCAACTGGCCAAAATTCCCTTGGTGAGTGGCCCTGTCAGCCACCTCCCGCCTGACATCTAATGTTTGAAAAATCGACAGAGCTGGGTGGAAAATTGTCAGCCGAATAACGTTTGCACCCAAGCAGATGGCATCAATGGAGGAAGCGATTAGTGTTTGTTTTTTTGTTCAGTGTGCAGGCTGACTAAAAAAAAACTATCATTGTATGGGCAACTTTACAGGTGTGATCTAATTGTCCCCTGTGCTTTCTCAGCAGTGTCCTCTTAGGGAGCGGCCTCAACCTCTCCTCTGTGTGTAATGCCGGGTGCCGCTGTTCACAGGATCTTTACAGTCCTGTCTGTGGAGCCGATAATGTCATGTACTATTCTGCTTGCTACGCGGGCTGCTCAGGACGCTACATGGACCGTGGTAATGGCAGAAAGGTAATTATCTATCTTTTACATGTATATAAGAAATTGTCATGCAGCTAAGGCAGGCCATAAATGGGTCGAAAATCGGCCGAAAATTCGTCCAATTCGGATCGTTAGTGGGTGAATTTGTCAGCCATTTTTTGTGATTTTGACAAATTTTTTTTATCGGTCATGTTGGAAAAAAAAACCGGCCAATTTTGTCAATCGGCCGATTTTCACGGCAATGATGGGCAAATCAGCCGAACTTTTTACCGATTAAAAAAAATGCACATGAGCCGTGACCTGCAAGAAGAAGGAAAAGAAGAAAAAGAAGATGAAGACAAAGAAAAAGAAGAAGAACATCTGTATCTATTTGTATCCATTTTGGATACAGATGTTTCTATTCAGATACAAATAGATACAATGTTGCAACCGCAATACTTTTAAATGTCAAAAATAATAGCGGAGTGTCCCTGCAGAGAGCTCCGCTATTATATTTGACATTTAAAAGTATTGCGGTTGCAACATTGTATCTATTTGTATCTGAATAGAAACATCTGTATCCGAAATGGATACAAATAGATACCATGTTGCAACTTTGCTATACTTTTAAATATCAAATATAATAGCGGAGCTCTCTGCAGTGACACCACTATTATATTTGCCGGCTGTAGACGGGATGAAAATCAGCCTTTTTTTTTTTACCAGTGGTGGTAACGTCGGCCGATTGAACGACCAATTTTTCATTTTTTTTTTAAAAAAAAAACAGCCGGTTTTCGCCCCGTCTATGGCCTGCCTTTAAAGTTACAGGTGGCTGCTAATGAGCTGAATCACCTACTGACTTCTCATAGCTTTCGGAGATTTAAAAACAGAAGACATAAAATGTAACAACATAATGACAGGTAAATGGCCTTTTGAAAAGATGCATTTAAAATAGGCATAATGTCTTTTTTTTAGGGTTTGGAGACTCTGGCTGTGAAATTAGCCCACTGATGTCTGAAGAATCCCTTATTTATCTGAATAATTTTTTTTTTTTGAGGGGAAGGGTTAGAATATCTCTAGTGATTTTTTTTTATAGCTGTTCCCCTTTGGGAATATTTAACCCTGCTTCCTGTCTTGAGGAGTGGGGCTGCTGATCCAGTGCCTCAGACTAGGCCATCTACCTCCTGGTCTTGTTGCTGGCCCTCTTGCTGCACTTGTAGTCTTTAGGACACTTTGAGGACCCTAACAGAAATATGGGAAGTGCCCATGTCACCAGGCAGTGATGTGGGCACGTAGAATAGGACCCTTCCACTCTGCAGTGAGGAACAGAGAAGACTCCAGAGCCAGCATGTCACCTGACAATGGATTAAGACATTTCTGACATTTAGCTAGGTTTTTTTTTAACTACTGTTCAGGAATGAATTAGGTAGAAATTGGAGGGTGGAACCATGACTGGAGAGGACCTTTAAGCAGGCAAAGTGACAAAACAGGTAGAATGAGGCACAATCATACTGCTTGCACCAATTGGGTGCAGTGACCCTTTGATTACAGCCTTTTGATATGGAGGAGACAAACAATCCACTGCAGTATATCAGCCCATTGGGGTCTCTGAGGGATAAAAAAAAAACAAAAAACAATATTCCCAAGGTTAGGTTCACACCTATGCAGTTTGCATTTGGTCCAATTCTGCAGTGCGTTTTTGATGAGTTTTGCATTTTTTTTTCTTGTTGCTACGCAGATTTAAAACCCAAAACGGCTGAAAAAATGCACTACATGCTTTTCTGCAGTGTTTCTGCTGAAGTCTATGTAAACAAAAACGCAACGTTTTGCATTTAAAAAAGTCCCTGACCCTTTCCAAGAAACACACTGGGTGAAAACGTGGAGATGTGAACCTGTCCCATAGGAAATCATGGTAAATGCAAAGCGCTGTGGAAAACGTTTAGGTGTGAACCTAGGGTAAGGGCCGGTTCACACCAGATGCAGTCAGTGCATTTTTAATCTGCATCAAAAATACATGCACAGTGTTTGCCACGTATTCCAATGGCCCACCAGCGCAGTCCGTTCCAGTGCAGTCAACAAAAGTAGAATGTGCTGCAAATTTTCTGTATGGAATGCATCTAGAATGCAATGCAGTGCAACGCGATGAAAAAAAAAGGGGGGAAAAAAAAATGCACACATGTATGCATGCTTCTGGAACATGTCCCAAAACGAATGGACTCCCATGCCTGTGACACGGAGGGAAAGAAGTCCCTGCACTTCTTTGGAAAACACAGCCCACACAGGAACCGCGGTTACCAGTACGGTTGCGTTTTCCAGTGCGGGTGGCGTGCCATTAGAACTAATGTCACCCGCACACGGGTCCGCAATTCTCTGTGCGGGTGGTGCGGCTGCATGAGTTTTCGTGTGGATCCGCAGTGGCACCACCCACACAGATGTGAACCTAGGGGGTAAAGCTGGGTAAACACTTCGTAGACTGAAAATTTGTATGAAATTTCATCTGTGAATTCTTAGTACATTCAACAGCTTGATGAATGTCGTTTGAAAGTTGTTGAAATTTTTTTTTTTGCTTTCAACATTCGATTTTGGAGTGAATGGATTTTAACAAATGAAAACCACATACACTGTTAGAAATTCATTTGTACAAAAAATTTCCATCTTACTTCTTCGAATTTTCTTGTCGCTGTAGTTGAAAATGACCCCACTAACGATTAGTTTATGAATTCTGCAAATGTTTACCCAGCTCTAGATAATAGTTATTTCTGTTCTGTACCTGTCATTAAATAGCATTTTCTGTATCTCATTTATCATATTGAACGCTCCTTTAAGTTGGCAATCTCTTTTATTTTTTTTTTAGATGTATGAAAACTGCAGTTGTGTGGCTTCCAATATCTCTGTGATGGGGACACAGGCTGTAGCGGGAAAATGCTCTTCCTCCTGCAAAAAGATGTCGCTGCTGCTGGTGTTTACATTCTCTGTTATACTGTTTACATTCCTGTGCAGTATTCCTGCACTCACTGCAACGTTACGGTATGAAATATCAGTCGATTTGGCCAGGTCCTGTACATGTAGCAGAGACATACACCAATCAGCCATAACATTATGACCACCCACCTAATATTGAGTAGGACCCTTCTGCTGCCAAACAGCCCTGGCCTATCGAGGTGTGGAGTCACCTAGACCTGTGAAGGTATGCTGCGGTATCTGTCACCAAGCTGTAGTAGTAGATCCTTTATGTCCTGTAAGTTGCAAGGTGGGGCCTCCATGGATCAGACTTGTTTCTCTTATCACATCCCACAGATGCTCGATTGTATTGAGATCTAGAGAATCTGGTGGCCAAGTCAACACCTAAAACTCGTTGTTGTGTTCCTGAAACCATTCTTGAACCATTTTTGCAGTGTGGCAGGGCGCATTATACTGCTGAAAGAGGCCACTTGCCTTCTTCCCATAGTGCATCATGATGCCATCTCTTCCTCAGGTAACCAGCGCTGTGGACATGGGTCAGCATGGGCACCCTGACCAGTCTGTGGCTATGCAACCTCATATACAACAAACTGCAATGCACTGTGTATACTGACACCTTTCTATCTGAACCAGCATTATATTTAATAGCAATTCGAGCTACAGTAGCACTCCTGTTGGGTCAGAATACATAGACCAGCCTTCGATCTCTATTGGCATCAATGAGCCTTGGCTGCCCATGACCCTGTTGCCAGTTCTCCAGTTTTCTTTCCTTGGTCGGTCCTGACCACTGCAGACTGGGAAAATGCCACCAAAGCTGTAGTTTTGGAGTTGCTCTGACCTAGTTGTCAAGCCATTACAATTTGGCCTTGCCAAATTTGCTCAGATCCTTACGCCTGGCCATTTTTTCTGCTTTCAAGACTTCTACCTCAGGGACAACATGTTCACTTGCTGCATAATATATATCACACCCACTTTCAGATGCCATTGTCAATTGTGTTCACTTTACCTGTCAGTGTTTATAATGTTATGGCTGATTGGAATATAAATAGTCACTAAAAGCTGGCCATACACTGTTAGTGGATGGAGGAATCCCCGCTGTGTCGGGACATTGTATTCTGACAGTGGAACAACCTACTGTCAGAATACATTGATAAATGGCTGCAGCTGCTGATCAACAAAACTTTTCCAGCATATCCCTTTGATAGAAGTCAATTAAAAATGAGTGGGGACAACACAAACTGATCAAAATTTGGCTGGTCCCTGAATTTTGATCAGTGCATGACCAGCTCTACACTCCATCTTATTTTCTCAATGCACCACTGCCTCCTCTGCTTATAAGGAGTCACATGACTACATCAAGAGCCAGACAGAATGCTTCCTGCTGCCAGCCAATCAGACAGCAGAATGGGGCTGCGTTACTTGCCATTCAGCCAATCTAGTGCATTCTTCTGTGCTGGCTTCTAATGCCAGGAGATGTCTTTTAGATTTAGGGTAAATGTGCAAAGCCCTGTAGATTTTCAGTAAGGTTCTATTTACTATCCCTAGGAGGGATCTGCCTATAAGTGGCCATCATGAACAGAAACTATGTTTTTGGGATAATACGGATACAGTTAAGTTTTAATCCATTACACAGGCTTCCCAAAGCATTATGGGTTGTCTAGACAGACAGCCCAATCATAGCTACTTCACTTCAGGCTCACTCTGTCTGATTGCAAGCTTGGACGCAACCATACAAGGGGGGGACTGAGTCACAAAAGGACAAGATGTGGGAAAAAAAAGCCTAACGCTCCACCTACTGGCTGGTTATTAGATGTACACATTATACAGTATAATATATAATCAATTATAAAATATATACTACTAATATATAGTATTAGGTTAATCATTTTATAATAACCAAAAACAATGCAAAAATATTAAAATGTATAGTCTTGACCATCAAATGTAGTCTTGACCATACAAATAAATATGTCCCAAACCACTATATGCTCCCTGTAAAGTAAGCCTGTGCTGCATTCAAAAGTATTTAAGGACAGCGGTGCTAATGGAATGTACTTTAGAGTTTTTGGTATAGGTTGGAGTTCTTCTATAAGTGTTCTTTATGTTCTTCCCGTGTTAATGTAGGTGTGTGCCGGATAGTCAGCGCTCCTTTGCACTCGGGATCCAGTGGATATTAGTGCGAACATTAGGTATGCTATGACAAGAAGCACTTAGCTAATGGATTCAATAACCCCGCTGATAGGCAGGGCTGCTTCCTGCATTTCATCATCTCCCATCTCTGCTGTTCACTAAGTAACCAGCTCTCCCTATAAAAAACACCATTAATGGCTACAGCTTAACTGGTAAAGTGGGCTTTGGATAGAACAAGATTTATGACTTTTTATAAAATGATTTGAGCTTTCCTGTAGCTCCCAATTTTAAAGTAGATTTGTTCAGGTGGGAGGTAAAAAAATTATGGCATTCTGGTGCTGATTAAAACAATGCACAGATCATATTTACCTCTTACATTCATATTGCCAATGATCAATTTGGGAAGAGGGGGGGAGGGGGATTGGGAGCCTTCTGTTTAAAGCTTTTCTCATTTTAGATTGAGTGCGGAAGGGTTGCTTCTTTGTCAGGTTTCCTAACCTCCTGTTTTCTCACCAGCGAGGGCAGCAATAAAGCCTGACAGGGGTTCTAACCCTTTCCCACTAAAAACTGTTAACAGCTAAATTTATTGCTGGACTCCCACTTTAACTCTCCAACTCAGCAGATACCTTTATGAATTCAGAAGCTCTGGCTACTACTGCATGGCAATACCCTAACTTGCCCGAAGCTTGTTACTTTAGCTAGTAAGTGAACCGCTGCATCTTCAAGTGCTCTTTTCTTGACAACACCACTGTGTGTTCTTTACAGCTTGTCTGGTGCCAGGGGCCTCTGCTGTAGTACACAGGTACTATGAGCTAAAGAATGAAGAGAACGATGGCTAGATGTCAAGAAATAGACCAGCGACTTACAATTATGTTCTCAGATACTAAATGACAGCTGATCCTGTCGCACAACTTCAATTCTAGCAGTATTCAAGGGGTCAGGAATGGCAGACTCTTGCACTGCATAGGAGCTCCACCTTTGATAGGTAACATTCATCTTCACAAGTTCCCTTGCTAATTCTTTTAGTTCCAAAACTCCATTATACAATGTTGACATATTCTGAATTGCTTTATAGAATAATAAAATTATTCGTATATAATTCCCTGCCCTGAAGAGCTTACAAAGAAATGTCTATACGATAGGTTTACTTTGAATTAGGGCAGTAGTTGCCAACTTATGGGCTAAAGGGGGCCTCAAATGCAGCCCCCAACATCAACGAAGGGCCGCACATAATGTTATACATGTAAGTAATGCTTGAGAGGAATCGATGAAATGCAAGTCGGAGTGTTTTGGATGGAGATATGTTGAAGAAGACAATGCGAAACTGGGAACATGTTACATAGGGGTGGTAGAGATCAATTCCATTACTCTAATCAATGTTCCCAGTACAGAATGCTGAGAGCCGCACATCATATACCAAAGGGCCACATGCGGCCCTCAGGCCACAGGTTGGGCACAAGGGGTTTTTAAAGTAGGCAACACCCAACTAATACTCCACAAAGGAAAGGTTCTAAGATAACATGTACAGTAGCTTTCATGTATATAGTTCCTGGAGGATACGGAAGTTAGTACCCTACTGCTGCAAGGCAACATGACTAACCACCAAGCTGCCATGCTGCCTCACAGTGGCTAGCATCAGCCACACATAGTTACTTAGTTGGTCCGGCTGAAAAAAGACAAAAGTTCATCCAGTTCAATCATTAAAAAAAAAAAGTTATAATCCTACACCCACAGTTGATCCAGAGGAAGGCAAAAAAAAACCAGCAAAGCATGATCCAATTTGCTCCTGAAGGGAAAAAAATTCCCTCCTGATCCTCCGAGAGACAATCGGATATTCCCTGGATATTCAACTTTACCTATAAATGTTATATTCTGTGTATCCAGAACCAACTCTTGAGGGAATCATATTCCACATTTTCACAGCTCTCACTGTGAATGGAAACATTTCCATGTTTGGAGATTACATTTCTTTTCCTCCAGACGTAAGAGAGTGCCCCCTTGTCCTCTGTGATGACCTCAGGGTGAATAGCTCTACACCGAGTTCACTATATGAACCATCCCCCCCCTGATGTATTTATACATGGAGATCATATCCCCCCCTTATGTATGATACATGGAGATCATATCCCCCTTATGTATTATACATGGAGATCATATCCCCCCCTTATGTATTATACATGGTGATCATATCCCCCCCTTATGTATGATACATGGTGATCATATCCCCCTTATGTATTATACATGGAGATCATATCCCCCTTATGTATTATACATGGAGATCATATCCCCCCTTATGTATTATACATGGAGATCATATCCCCCCTTATGTATTATACATGGAGTATTATACATGGAGATCATATACCCCCCTTATGTATTATACATGGAGATCATATCCCCCCTTATGTACATGGAGATGATACATGGTGATCATATCCCCCCTTATGTATTATACATGGAGATCATATCCCCCTTATGTATTATACATGGAGATCATATCCCCCCTCATGTATTATACATGGAGATCATATCCCCCCTTATGTATTATACATGGAGATCATATCCCCCCTCATGTATTATACATGGAGATCATATCCCCCTCATGTATTATACATGGAGATCATATCCCCCTTATGTATTATACATGGAGATCATATCCCCCTTATGTATTATACATGGAGATAATATCCCCCCTTATGTATTATACATGGAGATCATATCCCCCCTTATGTATTATACATGGAGATCATATCCCCCCTTATGTATTATACATGGAGATCATATCCCCCCTTATGTATTATACATGGAGATCATATCCCCCCTTATGTATTATACATGGTGATCATATCCCCCTTATGTATTATACATGGAGATCATATCCCCCTTATGTATTATACATGGTGATCATATCCCCCCTTATGTATTATACATGGAGATCATATCCCCCTTATGTATTATACATGGTGATCATATCCCCCCTTATGTATTATACATGGAGATCATATCCCCCCTTATGTATTATACATGGAGATCATATCCCCCCTTATGTATTATACATGGAGATCATATCCCCCCTTATGTATTATACATGGAGATCATATCCCCCCTTATGTATTATACATGGAGATCATATCCCCCCTTATGTATTATACATGGAGATCATATCCCCCCTTATGTATTATACATGGTGATCATATCCCCCCTTATGTATTATACATGGAGATCATATCCCCCCTTATGTATTATACATGGAGTTCATATCCCCCCTTATGTATTATACATGGAGTTCATATCCCCCCTTATGTATGTAATCTCCTCTTCTCAAGAGAGAATAAATTCAATTCCTCTCATTTTTCCTCATAGCTGAGCTCCTCCATGCCTCTTATCAGTTTGGTTGCCCTTCTCTGTACTTTCTCCAGTTCCCCAATGTTCTTTTTGTGAATTGGTTTGAGAGATCAGGTAAAGGCCAGTGACTTCAGCAATTAAGTACAGACTATGCTTGCCTGAAAAAAAGATATTTTGCAATAATGTCCCCTTCTTTTTCAGGTGGTATCCCTGGACCAATTGCCTTTGGCTCGATGATTGACATTTCCTGCCTGCTCTGGCAGAACCAAAGTGGAGAAAAGGGCTCCTGTTACATGTACCAAAACTCAGCCATGAGCAACTATATGCTTATTGCTGGTCTTGTTTACAAGGTGAGTGAAGGGTTAATGTGAGCTGCCCTGATGTCCAGCATAATGGACCTTACAGTTACCCGCCACTAACCCAGCATCAGGCATGACCTTGGGCATTTTCAGATCAGGGGCGGACTGACCATTTGGAAACTCGGGCACTGCCCGAGGGCCCGGGGTCAGTAGGGGGCCCCATGAGATACCCCTGGTACCTTTTTCATAGGCTTTTTTGAGTTTGGGCAAGGACACAGGGGCCCCATGACCCCCTATTGCCCGGGGGCCCCATGAGTTGTCAGTCCACCCCTGGTTCGGATCCTAGTCTGCCAGGAAGCTATCACTGCACATCACTAATTGTAAGTGGCTGGGGTATTCCCCATCCCACAGCCGCGTGTGTTCATTTCATGCCCCTGCAGACTGGGAATTGCCTAAGGAACTTATGATTGGCAGTGCACAGTGACAGCTTTCTGGCAGGAATGCTTCAAGTGGGTTTGTTCTGAATCGAGTTCAGTCCCAACCAGAAGGCAACTGCCATTCCTGGGCCACTGAGATGTGGGTGGAGGACTCCATGCCCTTTAGCTGACATATACAAAAGGGCAGGGGATGCTTATCACATCATTGACCTAGTTTGGCCACAAACACAAGCTCATCCCTATTCCTGACTTGAATTAAGGTAGCGAGGAAGTGAGGTGGTCTTTCAAATACAGTGTAAGGGACCGCCCGGCGGTACCACTAGCACTCCACTGAATAGGTGTCCCCAGCGCACGGAATCTAAGTCCCAGGGTGCTTGTTCACCAGGGCCCCTGATGGTGGGGATGGACTTGGAGCCCCCCGAGACCAGGTCGTGGCTACTGGGTGCGTCCGTCAGTGGTAGTGGTATGCGCCAAGGGCTCCCACGGGAAGGAGTCTGATATGAGGAGGTCAGAAGACCCCACTGCGAGGGATGGGCGGATGGATGGATGAGCAAGGTCAGACGGGCCGGGTCGGTAACAGAGAGGACGGTAAGGTACAAGGCAGCGGGCAGAGAATGGTCGGGTCACACGCCAGGTCAGCAACAGCAGGTCAAATCCGATAGGGGGCATCCAGGAGAGAGGTCAGGCAAAGCAAGGGTCAGGATAGGAGAAAATAGCAAGGTCAGGTACAATCCGGGTCAATAACTTACAGGGTACAGGTTCGCAGAATCACAGGATGCAGGAAAGACCAGAAGGCACTGAATGACAGCTCAGGGCCATTTAAATATCCCGCCCTGCGCTGCCATTGGTGCCCAGCGGGTGGCCGCGGCTTCTACTGCGCATGCGCGAACTCGAACGCTGCGGCCGGCCCGGACCTAGTGCCCGTGTCCCTGCACAGGGCGGTGCACTGCGCCTGCGCCGGGACCATCGCGGCGGGGATCGAGGAGATCCCTGACATACAGACTTCAATAAAGACCTCACCCGCTGACCCTTCCCAGCTATATCCAAGACCACATAAAAAACAAATCTTTAATCTATAAAAAAAATACAAAGCTAAAAGGTGACGTTGCCCTTTAATTATGCTAGTACCCTTCTTGGTTTTACAGGTGATTGGACTAGTGTTCTTTTTGCTCGCTCTCTTGCTCTATAAACCTCCTCCACCGGTCTCTCCAGCCATTACTGTGGACAAAGCATCCAATGGGCATTCAGAAAGACCTTGCCAGGGGGAAGCCGCAGTGACATCACCAGACACGCCCTCCTGAGGATCCCTACCAGTCACTTCTGCACTTGTTCCACTGCCTTGACGTATTGCACAGTCCTACAATCCTCATCTGCTGCAGATTGTTAGACTTCGTCCTGTTTAGGAAGGAAGGGCTATTCGAAGCACTGCAGCGATCCACCGCATACAATTCAGAACACAACTTTCGTTTTATACTGAATGCCAAGATGCGCCCAAGGTAGCACAATAATCACTGTTCTCTGATTGCCATTCTGGGCACAGGAAGCACAGTCAATGGTACACGGTTTCAGTATGTCTGGCTATGCAGTGTGTTCCTTAATGTCATTTATTTATGTTAATATTTTATTGTAATGTTATCAATAATGATTTTCATACTACTAGACAGGGATAAATCTTTCTCATAGGAAAAAAAGAAATAATTATGCCAGTTTCTGTAGATGCCAACAGACACTGCAACTTGAACAGTATTTTTACATGACATTTAGTGGAATGAGATTTTAGTTCTCATCGGCTTTTTACGGACTTCTTCACATGGTTGTTTTTGAAAATGCCAGGCACCTTTGCATTGGGCACTAAGAGAAAAGCACAGTAAATATGTCAAAGAAGGTTTTCCCAGAGCAGTACAGGGGTTTAGTGATGAGCAAGGTGACTATATAGAACGGGGTGGGGGAGATACCAAGGGCACTTCCATATGGTGTTTGTATGTTTGTCCTGTGTTTGTGTGGATTTCCTGTGGGTCATCCTATTTCCTTCTACAAGCCAAGAACTTACTGGGAGGTGAACTGACTGCCATTCAAAGTGGGTGTAATGTTTATGTGTTGGAGACTTTATATGACAGGCTCCTCGGAGGCAGGGACTGATATAAATGATTAAAGGATCACTGTAAGGCATTAAGGAGACACTGCCGCCTTGAACATGTAGGGCAAAGGAACAGTATCTCTGCAAAGGTCACCATTTCCCTGTACTCACCTTGCATGCAGACCGCTATAGTTCCTTCCTTGGTTGCCAAAGGTTTACTTGTTTTCTTACAAAACTGGTATAATATAGGAAGGTGTGTTTCCTGCAGGGCACAGTAAAATTCTATATTGTGTTTGTGCCAAACTCTGGTGTCGAACACAGCGCACCCCTTAGGTGTTTGTGAAGACTCAAGGTTTTTTATCTTCATGTATTCAATGCTTCCCCCAGTCCCCCCTTCCTACATCTTACCTGAGCACCATCTCGATCCAGCGATGTGCACAAGAGTCTCAGCTCTCCCGGGTCTCTCCTTCTTCATTGGCTGAGACAGCAGCGGTAGCCATTGGCTCTGGCTACTGTCAATCACAGCCAGTGAGCCAATGAGGAGAGCGGGAGCGGGGCCGAGCTGTGCTCCGTTTGTGAATGGACACAAAGTAGCAGCTCAGGTGCGAGCCCGCTCTGGTGGCCCCATAGCAAGCTGCTTGCTATGGGGGAACTCGGCAGGAGCACTAGGGCAGACCCAAGAATAGGAAGATCAAGGCTGCTCTGTGCAAAACCATTGCACAGAGCAGGTAAGTATATTCTACCGGCCTCTCAGCGGGTGGGCCTTGACGCAGAGATACTGCATACATGCGTACCTAAATGTCAACAAATCTGTGCTGAGAGCACGTGCCCTGCATGCTCCCAGCACAGGCACCAACGGAAAGCTCCCAATCGATAATGTGACCTCTGTGACAGCCAATCACAGCAATCACATGATCATAAACCCTACCCCACCTCCCGGAATCAGAAACCCCTTGAAGAGCCAGGAGGCGCCGGCATTAAGGGGTTAATGTGTCCCAAACATTCAGCTTCATATGATCATAAACCCCACCCCACCTCCCGGAATCAGAAACCCCTTGAAGAGCCGGGAGGCGCCGGCATTAAGGGGTTAATGTGTCCCAAACATTCAGCTATACCCGTAGACACACTATGCAATCTATTCAATGATCTGATTCTGCTTTTAACAGTCAAGTTATGTTTTTGCTAATTATTTTGTGGTCATGATAAATATTGAAGTGACAGCATGTTTATAAGTTGGCTTCACTATTATCAGTCCTTGTATGTTTATTAATTATCTGACAAATTGGAAGTCTTAAAGAGGGCTTACAATTTTTCAGGAAAAGGAAGTCTCTATACTTGCTAATCAGTAGAAGTGACCTGCTTAAAATCCCCACTATTCCACTGATTTACAGGAGCCCTAGAGCTGCTCAGTTGTCTCCAGGTTGACAAGTCACATTACTGTGTAATGTTTGCTGCCAACAGCCCGACAGCCCCTACAGCAACTACAAGATTCTGTAGTGATGTAAAGGCCAGCAGGTGGAAATCTGAGGGGGATCGGGCGTCCAACAAACCCAACATGTCAAATGCAGAAGGTTCTTCATATAGCTTAGCTTTTTAGGAGATTGAAGGTAGTGGCAGAGAGGGCAATACAGGTAAGTAAGTTTTACCTATTTATGTAGCAACACAGTTAAAAACTCATCAGCCCTCGTGTTACAATTCACAGGAATCCAGACTTCACTACCACATCCTCATTGGCTGTAGTGGTTTAAGAAAGCATCAAAGGAAAGAGGCTGGAGTTCTTGACAACTGCACCACAGTCGTCAAGCAACATGCACCTGTTTCAAGAATCGAAAAAAAAAATTTGAAAAGCTTATTGGGATTTCATTAGGACCATATTGCTAGGAATAAATTCATTGTGTGCAGGATACACACAAAACGAATAATATGGACTGGCTGCTATGACGTAATTAATGCAGATTTGGACCTTAATGTGAAAACATATACTTGAAGGCTTGTGTACAAGGGTGGGTTACTGTGTCTCACATTGAGTTGTATAGTGGAATAAAAGCAAAGCACAAACTAATGTCAGATTGACCTGAACTGATCCCGAAAGCCTCTATAATGAGCTATCCAATATATTGTATGTGCCGAACAGAGGGCGGTCTGAGGACTGAGCCTGGCTCTGAAAGCTGTAGTGCTAACTAACTGGCTGCTAGCAGAGATGCTGCCATAGATACTCACAGAGCTTAATAGGTTTCTGAGCAGCCAATATACTTCCAGAGAGTGGATTTCAGTTAAGGGCTCAGACTTTACACAGTCCTTAACATTTCTATGAGAATTAAAGCAGATCTATAATCAGATACACGCATTATGACCTCCTACTGGAAATGCCTGATGAGTCACGGTTATCAGCATGACGGTCTGGCACTTGTCATTTTCTGAAGGCGCTTAACAATGCTAGACTCCACATTTCTTTGAGCACGGGTGCTTTTTAAGGAATTATAATTCATTTAAAGGTCATTTTGTATAACAAAATCTGACAATTGTTTTCTAGTTTTGGGAGGGACTGAGATGACTGC